GTACGGGCTACACAATACAGATTGTGAGCAAGGTGGACGCTTTAGCGTGTAAATGCTAGGAGAAACTGCTTCTGTGTTGCTGCCTTACTAGACAACTTTCTCATTGTCAAATAGAAGCCAATGAGAAAATATCCATTTTGTGTTGTGCACATTTGGTCCAAGTAATGTTCTTCATTCGCTCATTTTGCAAAAGCGATTTCATCACCCTCAACAATTAAGTCTGTAGCCTTTGTCCAGAACTTTGGATCTTAATCCATACCCACCTTGATTATACCTACTCCCAAGTCATTACAGAATTCTCACATGGTCCCTGTAAACTAGCGGCTCACCTCAAATTAACTTGTTGCTTTACCCAGAATTCTTATTTTCTGTCTCTTTTACTTCTTGCTTTCTAAATCTGTAAGACCATGATGGTTCCCCCCCACTTCCCTGTTCTTTCCAGTACATTTTTTAGAAAGGGGTGTGGGGGAGCTGCTGCTTAGACAATCACAGCTCCTAGGAACTATAACACAGGAGAGTGTGGGCTCAGAAGCATGGGGGTGAGGGGCTTCACCAGTGTTTTGCAATATGAATGAAATTTTTAAAGTTCCCTTCCCTAATAATGCATCCTGAATGCTTTGAGCATTCCTGAGCATGCAAAACAAGCTAAGCCTTGGGACTTGTGCTGTTTTGTGACCTAGAAGTCTTTTGTCTGCAATGCAGAGCTGTGGAAGAAAGCAGTGTTTGTGTTCAAATTACAATTTCCTCAATTCTCCACTTTTTATTAGCAAAAACCTGACAGTGCCTCGCCTGACTCCAAATGTGAAAGGGCCAGGGTGAAAATAACATGATTTAAGTGTATTTCAGAGTGTCTCTTTTATGCATATGATTCCTATAATCGTTCAGACCTAGATGAACTCCCACTTCAAGCCAACCCTGACCTACTCAAATTAGGTTGAAAGAAAAACGTACTGGCTGAAGCCTGGTTGGCTTGGAGCAGTTTTGAAAGGAAGCCAGTGGCACCAACCCCCTCCCTTAGAGAAGTAGCAAAGCTATCAGAAAGGTCAGCTTTGTGGCCTGTTCACTCACAGGTGCCTTCAGTGAGCTGCAGAAGGCAGCTTCACACCTCTAGCCACTCGCGCCTTGTCTTTCTGAGTAACTCTCTAAATCTCTTTGGGAAAATTTTTTGAGACAAACTGACTAAATCCTCACAACCAGCTAGGATTTGCCCTTCACTGTTTTAGAAAGTTTTCTACTTCACTACAAAACTTTTTTTCTTTTTTGCCACAATTTTCATGGGCAGCACACGTGTGTGCATACGTGTGCATGCAAACACACACACACACACACACACACACACACACACACACACACATAAAGTCTTAGAGGCAGAAACTTTTTGCTCCGCTAAAACTCCCCTTTAACTGTAGTAAAAGGGTTCAAGCTCACAGTTACCTCTACCCTTTGTCAACCTTGTATTTTTCTCTCTACAAAGCCTTTCAAGGCCAACTGTTAAACCCTTTGAAAACCAATAAGAGTGAAAGTAGCTACTAGGTATCAAATGAAGTAAAAAATTCCAGGCACCTGCTACATCCTCAAGACCAAATGTGACACTATGTCCTGCTGAAAGGACCATCTTTTTTTCTTCAGAATTCATTTTGTTTTCCAGTCTACTTCCAAAAAAAAGAAAGAAAGAGAAAAAGAAAGAAAGAAAAATCATCATCTCCAGCCTGAAAGAGTTTCTTAAGTAACCTATACTACACTGTAACCATAACAGTAATTCTTTTAACTGTTCTGCTTTCTCCTTCCTTCCTTTTCTTTCTTTTTTCCCCACCTTTCTTTTCCCTTTCTTTCTTTCTTTCTTTCTTTCTTTCTTTCTTTCTTTCTTTCTTCTTTCCAGCCCAGTTTACAACGCATACTACCCACAGTCTCCTGGAAAGAAATGGGAAAATACTTGTAGCGTTCTCTGGCTTCCTGGGTCATTTACAGACATGCCTAGTATGTGGAGAGATAATCGTCTCAGTATTTTTAAGCCCTATGTTGTGCAATCATTTCCCTTCTTTCCTTGAACATGCACAGGAAGGTAAGGGTGCTTGTTCTGCCGGCAAGTTTGGAAAGACAGATTTGCTTTTGAACTGGCTGCATTTCCCCAGCGCCTGCTACTCCGCGTCAGTGCGCCCCCTGCTGACCAGTCAATAGGGTACCGCTAAGCAAAGTTTATTTTGTTCAGTAAACCGTGTCATATAAAATTAACAACAACCAATAAAATTAGCTTATATGTTTCAACTGTAAAAGTCCAAAACAAAATAAAGCTAGTTTTAGTGGTCCTAGAAATCTCTAGTTTGGCTTCTCCTCTTTGGCTGAATCAAGGTCCTTTTATCTAAAGCCCAGTGCACAAACATATAGCTTAATGTGACTAGTGTTCTTCCTTTTATTTCTTTCTCTATGGCAACCAATATGCTCTGCTCAGAAATGTTCCCCATCAAGGAAACAAATGATCTTCAGGGAGCAGCTCTATGTGGCATCTGGTCCACTGGAGCGCCCGGAGTTAACCCCAGTCAGACGCAGGGCTGTAAACAAGGGGAGGAAGCCTGGCGACTCTGAGCCCCTCCCCAACTGACACCTCTTCCTCTCTTTACAAACCGCTGCATTGATTTAGCATCAACTGTTTCCAAATAAATTACCAATTCTAAATTGCAAGGTGTTCGATATACAAAAGTGCAGTATAATTCCAGACATTTGACACCCTCCCCGCCCCCAAAATGTGGTTTCCTTCAAAAGAACAAATCTAAGAAGCTTCTAAAATCATCCTCAGTCTATCTCACTAAAGGAAGGTCCTCTCACTGGCCTGGACTTGGCATAGCTATTTCTTTCGGCCATATTTATTTAAGTAAGTACACCCTTGAATTTTACAAAAACCGAGTCATGGGTCTGAATGTCAAAATTAGAAATCATGGAAAACGCTGAGGCTCCAGCGCCCTTGGGGAGTGGAGGGCAGGGATGTCCTGGTTAGTTTTGATTGATCACCCTCTTTCTGAGCGGTTTTCACCGCCTAGCCAGGAGCAGCCGCAGATCGCCTGCTCCCCAGTTGCAGCTTTGACTTCCTGCCTCTTCTCCCTCCTTGCTTCCTCATCCAGCCCTCTGCCCCCGGGTTGCCAGGCCTTCTCCTCACTTGATCCTGCATCTCCCCATCCTAACCTGCATAGACTCACAATCCAGACACCCTCACCAGGGCAGGTTGCTCCATCTTCAGCCCTGATTCTCCGGGGAAATCCCAAACAAGAAATATTTATAAACTCCATGCTTAGTAGGCACCTATTTTCCAGGGTCTACCCCTCCTATGATCAACAATTTAAATTAATAGCTCTCTCTCTCTCTCTCTCTCTCTCTCTCTCTCTCTCTCTCTCTCGGAACGCTCTTGCTGTGAGGGCCTTTGGAACCAGTCCACCTTCTTATGTATTATTTTAGCAACGCCAGATTTCTTTTACTCACTCAGTCCAACACGACACACTTTCCCTTCCCCTCTCCTCCCAAGCAATGAAAATAAAGCTTCCAAACCTACAAGAGCATGAATAAATACACCTGAAAGAAAGGAAAAGGAGAAAGCACAGAAAGAAAATGAAACACAAAACAAAACAAACAAACAAACAAAAAACACTTACCCGGCAAATTCCCAAGGTTAGACTTTTAAATAAAAGGTTGTTGTTTTTTAAATATGGTGCCTGGAGGAGAAGGCACATTTTCTACTCTCCAGAGCCGAGGCATCCTTAGCCTTCCCTTTACACTGACTCCTCTAAGCCCAGTTCTCACTAGTCTATTATTTTCACCAAAATATATGAAAATGTATGCAAATGAAAATCAGCACTAACTGTTCTCCCCTTGTTATATACTTTGGATTTTTTTTTTCCAGACAAAACAATCACACTCCGGAGGGAGGGGGCGGATGGGGTGGGGCGGGAGTGGAGGGAAGCTGGGGAGCGATTTGAGAACTAAGTATGTGGGGGGGGAGAAGGGGACAGACCTGGGAACAGAAGTGCGTTTCTGTTACTGAGGAGCACAACGTTTGGGGGGCTTCCCGAACGCGCACACTCTCCTCGCAGGGAGAGAGAGTGGATCTGTTTGCAGGGGCGCTATCCCGTTTCATCGGGCCACCTGAGACGGCTTTTGAAAGCGTGTACTGTGAAACTCATAGCAGTAATTTAGACAAAATCCTCACTGTATATTAATGAAAGGCGGCCCCATGGCTCTGTTCCTATCCTCCCCATTCAGTGTAAACAAAACCACGAGACTCTTTCGGTTTTTGAGCCGGATCCAAGCAAAATCGGCAGGAAAGGAAAACACGGGGTGCTGGCACCGACTATTCAAACGTCTGCACCTGGAGATCTCAGATTTATTCAATGAAATCTGTGTTCCATCTCTTATATATACATATACGCATGCATAAATATAAAAAGGAACCTTTTGGAAGGGAGGGGGGATCTGTTTGGGGCTTTGGTTACTGCTGCCTTTTAGATCTGCTCCTATGATGGTATCTTTCACCCCAGCAAGCAGGAGCTGGACCCTGTCCTACAAAAACGCTTCGCGTCTGCAGTTAATCTTGAGATCACGCCGGGGCTGCGTGGCGGCTGCCGAGCTGCAGGGCTGGGGCTGAGCTCACCTAAGTGAGCGCGGCCGAGGGGAAGGCGGGCCGTTTTTTATGCTCGCGGCACCGCCGCGGCCCGGTGCGCTCCCGGCTGCTGCTCCGGCCGGGGACTGCAGGTTGCAGGCCGGTTTGCAGCGCCCTGCAGCTGGGGGTGCGGGGTGCAAGCACACGCACACTCATTAAGAGTCGTGTATTTATTGAATGTCCGAATCGGGTTCGTTCACTGGAAATCCCCAAGGAGGATTTAATTTGCCCTTGTTTTCATTGCCACTTTCTCTTTTTTCTTGGTTCGCTGAGGTTCCTCTGTGCGGCGTTTCCGCCTGGCCGCCTCCCCACACTCACACACACACCCCACCCCACCCCCTCTTCTCCCGCCTACCGGCCGCACTCCTCCTCCCGGCCCCTTAACTCTTTCAGCTGGGTTGCGGCTGAGGAAGCACTTGTCGCCAGCGGTCACAGCAACCTCGCAAACCTAAGACCCAAAGAAAGAGGAAATAAAGCGCCCCCAGGCTCAAGAATAGCAAGCGAGTAACCCCCCCATCACACACACACACACACACACACACACACACACACACACACACACAC